TTTTTAAGATTTATTTGTTTAGGGTGCCTGGGTGGTTTAGTCATTGGGCGACTGCTTTTGGCTCAGGTCATGGTCTCTGGGTCCTGGGATCAGGCCCTTCATTGGGCTCCCTGCTTGGCGGGGTGCCTGCTTCTCTCTCTGCCCCTCCCCATGCTTAAGCTCTCTCTCTCAAATAAATAAAATCTTAAAAAAAAAAAAAAGATTTATTTATTTAGGAGCACTTAGGTGGCTCAGTCGGTTAAGTGTCTGTCTGGTTCAGGTCGTGATCTCAGGGTCCTGGGCTTACGCGCTCTCTCTCTCTTGCTCTCTCTCTCTCAAATAAGTAGATAGGTAAAATCTTTTTTTTAAAGATTTTATTTATTTATTTATTTGAGAGAGGCAATGCACAAGTGGGAGGGGCAGAGGGAGAGAGGATCTCAAGCAGACTCCCCACTGAGCTTGGAGCCTGACATGGGTTTCAGTCTCACAGCCCTTGATATCATGACCTGAGCTGAAAACCAAGAGTCTGACTCTCAACTGACTGAGCCATCCACGTGTCCCTCTTGCAGACTTTAATATAAACCTGTAAGGTTTTATGTGGTGTGATCGTGGTCTGTGTGCTGTTTCAACACTCAGGAACAGTATATTTCTATAGTCCCACCTTTCCATGTTTCCTCAGGGAGTAAAAAACATCTCCAGTTAGGCATTTAGGGCATTTGCATTTGCCCTACAGTTTACATTTTTGCAAAATTTCCTTCCTTTCTTTTTTTCTTTTTGAGATGATTTTAGAATAGTATGGGGATGTAGTTTTTTGCTATAGTTTAGAAAATTGATAACTTGGGGAAAAGTATGGGCATTTTTTAATGGTATAATGTTTCCACGAAACAAATCCTTTTAGAGAGCATGTTTCTTTTAAAAAAAAAAAATTTTTTTTTGTTTTTTGTTTTTCTAAGTAATCTCCACACCCAGCATGGGGCTCGAACTCACAACCCTAAGATCAAGAGTTGCATGCTCCACAGACTGAGCCAGCGAGGTGCCCTGAGCATGTTTCATTTTTTTTTTTTTAAGATTTTATTTATTTATTTGACAGAGATCACAAGTAGGCAGAGAGGCAGGGAGAGAGAGAGGAGGAAGCAGGCTCCCCGCTGAGCAGAGAGCCTGATGCGGGGGCTCGATCCCAGGACCCTGGGATCATGACCCGAGCCGAAGGCAGAGGTTTTAACCCACTGAGCCACCCAGGCGCCCCAGCATGTTTCATTTTTATTAGACATAGTAGGCATGCCAGTGTCACTGTTACCACCTCTGCACCTAGAGGCATATTCAGGATGCATTAGGCATGTGGGGGAAGGGACTTCAGTGGGACATGAGGTCTGGCTGCATCTGCAGGCGTGAGCAGGAGTTAGAAGGGTAGCAAGAGCAGAGGATCAGAGGGAGGTGAGGTATAAGCCGCAGAGGGAACATTTTACTGCGGGATCCCCGACAAGGCAGAAAAGCCACCATTTTCACTCCCAAAGCCCGCTGATGCCATTGGTAGTTGAAAGGACTCCTACGGGCATCCGCTGAAGCTCTTCCCGAGGCCTTCCTCTTCCCCTCACTTCAGCCAGTTACCTTTCCGGACTCCGCATCTGAGCAGGTTGCCCGCCGCGGAAGCCGTTTCAGGGCTCTCCTCATCGCGGGGGTGTGGGCCGAAGTCCTTCCCGCAGCCCTCAGGCCCTGCGTGTTCCAGTCCCGCGCCCTCCGGGCCTTGCGGCCAGCGCCCTCCTCCCTCTGGGCTCCCGGCGCTCAGGCCTGCTCTGCGCTCTCGCTCTGCCAGGCTGCCTTCGCCGCTTCCTGGCTTGGGCTCCCTCTGCTTCTCCTGGGGTTTTCTCCTCCCCGTGTTGCTGAGCTTCCCGCTTCTGAGCTCAGCCTGTGATCAGACCCAGTTAGCCGGGGTCAGATCCCCCTACGGTGGAATCAGACCTTGGTGAGGCTGCTCTCCAGGGACAGCAAAATGATCCTTGAGACATAGCTTTGGAAGAACCCGCTCTGGGAGCTGGTGTGTAGTTTCTCACGGACACACTTGCACACAGCCCAGTTTCCCCTGGCCGTGCAAGTTGCCACCTTTTTAACTGAGCCGCAGGTGAAGTAGCCGGCTGAGTTACAGGGCCGCAGTGTAGGAAAATTAAGTGCCCCGATGCCTGGATTCACATGCCAAATGCTCACATGTAGGGCCTGGATGTGGCTGAGCGCCGCAGGTGTGCACGCTGCCTCTCTCACTCACCGAGGGACATGCTGGGGCACTGTTCAGGTGGTTTGGTTTCTGGTTCGGTGTGCGTAGTTGCACTCTCTGTCAAGTGCCTTTCATGGGTAGGTCTTGCCGTAGGTGTAGCACACATGGGTTGTGTGCAGATTGTCGCTTTCCCAACTGCGAGCTGCACCTGCTGGGCCTGGGTGGGTGTGGCACAAAGGAGGCTTCACTAAGCGCTTGTTTAAACACTGCTTTCCACCCTCCGTGTGGAACTCCAGACTTCTGGGGAGATGCTTCAGAGTTCTGCCAACATTTGATTCACACTGCATTTAAAACATGTATGGGGCGCCTGGGTGGTTCAGTCAGTTAAGCATCCAACTCTCGATATCGGTTCAGGTGATGATCTCAGAGTTGTGAGATCGAGCCCCACGCCAGTCTCCACAGTCAGCATCAAGTCTACTGCCCCTCTCCGTCTGTTCCTTCTTGCTTGTGTGTGTGTGTTCCACCCCACTTTCTCTCTCTCTCTGAAAAAAAAAGAAATTTTTTAAAAAAAGATTATTTATTTATTTATTTATTTCAGAGGGGGCGGGAAGCAGACTCCCCAATGAACAGAGAGCCCGATGCGGGGCTCGATCCCAGGACTCCGGGATGATGACCTGAGCTGAAGGCAGAGGCTTTAACCCACTGAGCCACCCAGGCGCCCCTAAATAAAATCTTTAAAAAAAAAATTTAAACTGTTGAAATTCTCTTAAAACTTTAGGACTTGGGGCACATGGGTGGCTCAGTGGGTTAAGCGCCTGCGTTCGGTTTAGGTCATGATCCAGGGTGCTGGGATGGAACCCCGTGTTGGGCTCTGCACTTGGTGGGGAGTCTACTTCTCCCTCCCTCTCTGTCTCAAATAAATAAATAAAATCTTAAAAACAAAACAAAACAACCTTAGGTACAGTTAGATGTGCTTTATTTATAGTACCTGTCAGTGGATTGAACACTACTGGTTCTGTCAGGTTAACTCGTCTTATGCGGTTCTTGAAATAAAGTCAGCAGTTGAAAGACTCTTAGCATCACAGCTGTTGATTTTCATTCTGCCTGCAGCAGCCAACAGGAAAACCCTCAGAAATAAATGCGAAGACAACTGAGTCTGGTAGGTTACGTGGCAGGCTGTGGAATAGTCAGCCGCCTTGCGATCTCCCTCCCTCCGTCTTTTCCTAGCTGTATGACCTCGGGCAAGGCAGTGGACCCGAGTCATGCTCATCTGTAGTGTGAGGATAGGGAGACACTTGAGAGGAGTGGATACAGTGAAGCAGAGTAAGGGCTTACAGAGTTTAGTCAGTGTCACTGTTAACGGCTGTTGTTACTGTTGCTGTTTCATCTTTAAAGTCAAATGTCAAAATTCTGAAGAGTCTCATTTATTCGTTGATTGAATTTGTAAGTTAAGGGCTGCTGTATGTAAGTTTCACAAAAATGCCCTTTGCTTAAAAAAGGTCTGTGTCGGGGGTAAAACCTTTGGTTTAGACTAAGAGAGGCTAGTGCTGTAGCCCAGCTTCCAGCATAATCTGTCACTCAGAAACCTTCTGGTTGATTCGATCTCCATGGCGAGGATCCTTCGGCTTCTTCACGTCCGCCTGCATAATCCTCTTCTCTGTTCTGCCCAGGACCCTTACTGAAATTTGAAGAAATTTAAGAAATGGTCATGAAAGAAACTTAAGAAATTTAAGAAATGGTCATGAAAGAAACTTTTCCTTGAAGCCACCAGTAAAGACTTCATGTATTCATTCCATAGAAACTTCCTGCGCTCCTGCAGTGAACTTGGCATTGTGGTGAAACGCTTTTACCTATTGTCCATGACCTAGTGAATCTTCCCAACAGCCCCAGGAGGTAGGATGTCAGGTAGCTTGCCCAGGGGTGTGTGCTCTTGGCCTTTGGTACCAAGAACCCTCCTCCTTTCTGATAGTGGCTTGCTGTTCTGTCACAAGAAAGTTTTCCCGTCTGCCTTAGCTGCCCAGCAGCTTCCCCGCACAGTGTTGCCGTAGCTTCAGCACGGCTTTTCCTTTGTTGCATTGGTGCCCCTCCCTCTCGTGACTCTACTTTTTCTTGTTTGTGTTAGCTTTATTTAATTCTTTGGAATAGGATTATTCTAATCCACTCAAAACTTGGGCAGATTTTGAAGACTGACATTTTACATTTCTAAAAAAATTTTATTATTTGAGAGCACAGGTAGCAGAGGGAAAGGAAGAGGCAGGCTCCCCCCTGAGCAGGGAACCCAACACAGGGCTCAATCCCAGGGCCTGAGATCATGACCTGAGCCGAAGGCAAACGTTTAACTGACTGAGCCCCCCAGGCGCCCCCATATTTTACATTTTATCCTAAAAAATTTTACATTTGTCTGAGTGTGAAACTTAGAAGGGTGGGCAGGCAAAAACCTTCTTGAAAAAATAATGATTAACGTGTAGTATTTGGGGGCACCTGGGGGGCTCACTTGCTTTCCTTGCTTGTGTGGCTGCACACACACACTTTTTCTCTCTCTGACAAGTAAATAAATAAAAACCTTTAAAAAAGTGTGTAGTATTTGATTCTAGGATTTTTGGGGGGGCTGAGAAAGGTCATGGACAGCTTTCAGGTGTGGTTTGTCCTTTTATTTTTATTTATTTTTTCTGGTTTTCCTTTCAAATTAAGAATCTGGGTGTTAATACAAGTCATATTTATTCACATTTTAATTTTTGTTTTTAACTCTTAAAACTATAAAACAAATTAAAAGTCCATTGCTAAGGTGAGCTTTCTAATTTTTTCTTTGCAGATAATGATGCTGCTTGAACTGAACAATTAAGGTAACATTTATGACTTATGTAATAATGCTTTTCTTATTCAGAAATCTTCATCAAATTTAGCTGAATTGGTAAAGTCATGTTTTAACCTTGGTGAGGATTTTCATTATTGCCCGTGGGCAATCATTCTGAACTGTGGAATATAAAAGACTTCACATTATATTTTAAGGTAAGTTTTGAAAATAACGGGATACCTTTATTCATTCATCTTATACTGAAGTTTGAAAGGATTTTACTGTTTTTAGAAAAGAAAAAGGGAGTATTTTTAATGTCTCTAAGCCAGTTATGGTTATGTTAATGTATAGATTGCCTGAAGCTAGCTTGTGTTGGATTCAGTGGAAAATAAGATGGTTTATACACTTATCTGTATCACCATGTATGTTTATATACAACTCTACAGTAAGAAGCAGAAATGTTTGTATATATACTGTTTTAGCAAATGCCAGCATCCTTGCAAATAGGGTATCTGTGAGGCCCCATATTATAGATGGGAATTGTAAAAAATCATATCCCACTTCCTGGCGCATGGATCTAGAGTACCCCAGATTTGTTTAATTAGCACAATGGCACCAACTAGGAAGTCCCACATTATTATGAATAAAGAAAAGAACTGTGTCAAAGTATCCTGATAAAATTATAAATGAAAAATCTCAAGGAGACTTAATTTGGTAGATATATGCAGCTAGTCACCTGGGTGGAGGTTACTAGATTGCATAATCTGGTTTGTAATTTGCTGTGAAGATCCTAACAATTCAGTGCTGTGCAGTAAAATTTTGTGTCTGGTCAGGTAGTTAGAGCTTACTCAAATACTGGAATTAATGATACACTAGAATCATGCACATCTCTTACATCCTTAGAACACGTAATGGAACTTTTGTGTTGTGAAAGGAACAACCGTGGGATGGGGGCTGCTGGGGAAGGTTCCTGGTGTTGGTGATGACCATGCTGAGTAGGTCCGAGGGCTCAGCAGTTCGTTGTTAGGTGAGGTGGGTGGGGAAGGATCACCAGCAGAGGAAGCAGCATGTGCCAGGGCCGAGGCCAGGGAGAGCGTGAGAGCTAAGCAAGTAGAACTGAATTTCAGTCCCATCTGACTGTGTATTTCCAAATGACTGAAGTCAGAAATGGGGAGCAGGGCTAAGGTGTCTTGTCTTAGAAGTTGGACTTAGATCTAAATCTCTGGAGAACTAGTGAAGAGCATTAAGGATAAGGCCTTAAACCAGTGCTTTTTCCCCATGTCATAATAGCTGGCGTGCATTTTTGGTTTTGTTATTCTTTTTTTTTTTTTTTTTTTTTTTTGTATGAATTGAAATTGTTTAAGCAAGATTGCAAAGTTAAAGGAACAGATTTATCAAGTTGTTACCTATGTCAAGAGATTAAGGGATTTGGGATTGTTTCAGTTTCCTCTCTGACATGAATTTAGTTTTGGCATTGAGCAGAGCAATCCCATGAAGTCAGAAAAGTCTCCAAGAGGTAAGTACTTTGATTGCCTCACAGCTTTGTTGGCCAATTTAAATTGTATCAATTATAGTAGTAATTACAGCAGTAGTAATTTAAAAGAGCCAATAAGAGTTATAGGCAAGTTCTACAGGTTTTACCAGAATAGTGTAGCATGGAGTTGGAAATGCAGAATTCTTACACATTACAGGGAGTATTTAATTCCATTATACTGGGTCACATTTGGATATAACCAGGATGTAGCCAGATAACGTTTACTGCAGTGAATTTCCAAGTCCATCCTAGTCAGTGTAACGGTGATTTTTCATGTCTCATTACCTTCCCATTGAGGGAGTCATAATATATCCACTTTCATGTTAAAGTTAATTACCATTTTTGCTCTAGAACTGTGCTGGCCACTACAGCTGTTGCCTCTTTAAATGTGGCTATTCAAATTAGTTACACTTAAATAAAATTTAAAATTCAGTTTCTCATTGCTTCCAGCCACATGTCAGATGCTCAGTAGTCACATGTGGTTAGTGGCTGCCATATTGGACAGTGCAGATGGAGGACATTTCCGTCATTACAGAAAATTTATTAGTGCTGCTCCAAAGGTTGTCTCCTTTTACAAATTTTAATGTATTTAAAAGCCATCTGATAGTGAAATATTTACAGATTAAATGATATAATTTGATTCAAAATAACTGGGGAGAATGGGGAATTATGGAAGAAATAGGATTTGCTGTAAGCTGATAATTGGTGAAACTAGGTTGGGGATCCATGGGGGGTTTCATTGTACTATTCTCATTATTCAGAAACTTTGTGTATGTTTGAAATTTTCCATAATAAAGAATAAAAACAGAAGCCTTTTTTTTTTTTAAAGATTTTATTTATTTGTCAGAGAGAGAGAAAGCACGCAAGCCTGCCTCTAGGCAGGCAGAGGTGGAGAGAGAGGCGGAGAGAGAGGCAGGCTCCCCGCCGAGCAAGGAGCCCGATGCGGGACTCGATCCCAGGACCCCGGAATCATGACCTGGGCCAAAGGCAGTGGCTTAACCCACTGAGCCACCCAGGCGTCCCTAAAAACAGAAGTCTTAAATAGGAACAGTGCTCCTGTTGGCACTGAAAAGTAGCCTTCTGCGCCTGGGTGGCTCAGTGGGTTAACCTCTGCCTTTGGCTTAGGTCATGATCCCAGGGCCCTGGGATTGAGCCCCACATCAGGCTCTCTGCTCAGCAGGGAGCCTGCTTCCTCCTCTCTCTGCCTGCCTCTCTGCCTACTTGTGATCTCTGTCTGTCAAATAAATAAATAAAATCTTTAAAAAAAAAATAAAAGTAGCCATCTGGGGGTTGCCTGGGTGGCTCAGTTGGTTAAGTGCCTTTGCCTTGGGTCGTGATCCCAAGTTCCTGGGATGAGTCCTACATCAAGCTCCCTGCTCAGCAAGGAGCCTACTTTCTCCCGCTGCTGCTGCCCCTGCTTGTACTCACATGCTCTCTGTCCCCTCTTCTCTCAAACTCTTTGGTAAATAAATAAATAAAATCTTTAAAAAAACAAACGGGCACCTGTGTGGCTCAGTGGGTTAAGCCTCTCTCTTTAGCTCGGGTTGTGATCCCAGGGTCCTGGGATTGAACCCTGCATTGGCCTCTCTGCTCATTGGGGAGCCTGTTTCCCTCTCTCTCTGCCTGCCTCTCTGCCTACTTGTGATCTCCGTCTGTCAAATAAATAAATAAAATCTTAAAAAAAAAAAAAAAGTAGCCATCTGTAAATGGGCATCGGAAATTCTACCCCACATAGGCTGGTGCCTGTGGTAAAGGGAAATGTTTAATCCTGCCCCATGGCTTCCCCAAAAGAGTACGTAGAGGACTGCATTTTTTTTTAAGGTTTTATTTAGTTATTTGACAGAGAGCACAAGCTGGGGGTAGTGGCAGAAGCAGGGGGAGAAGCCGGTTCCCCACTGAGTGTGGAGCCTGATGTGGGGCTCGATCCCAGGACCCTGAGATCATGACCTGAGCTGAAGGCAGACGGTTAACCGACTGAGCCACCCAGGCGCCCCTAGAGTACCACATTTTTTTAAGGTTTATCTCATTCCCTCTGGAAACACACAAGTGACAGCCCAGGTTCGAATTTATTAAGAGTTGCAGCTGCCCAAATGAATCTTGTGGGCAGAATGCGCTAGATTAGGATACTCAGCTAAAAAATTCCATTGCTGCTGACGTTAATTTTAGCCAAGTCCAAATAGTGTTCCTAAGGAAGAGAATGGAGTCCATTCACTCAGTCATTGGTTTATTTTTGTTCACAGCCAGATCAGTCAGCTTCTGTCTCTGGTTTCCTGGTTACCAGTGCCTATGGTGATAGCGTTGCAAGAGAGAAAGGGGAGGTCATAGAGAAAACCCTTGGCACAAGATGAAAGCCATCAGTAAAACTGTCACTGTGTCACCAAAGGGCTGTTTGAAGTTGTTACAAATACCTGCCTACTTTGGTCTCCTCCTGCATCTCTAACAGATGGCGGCGGGGCTTACTGTGAGCAGAGAGTGATGGTTGAGAGCAAGGTCTTTGGGTGAGACTTGGCCTTGAGTGTCTGCCTCTGTCAGCTGTGACCCGAGGAGCGGAAGAGTGAGCCCTTGCCGGCTGTCTTCGGAGCAACAGTAGGGCCACATCTGGTATGTGGTGGAGTGCTCAGGCTATGACAGCTCTCGCTGTTAGGTATTTTCTGTACAGAAAGGAAGGGGGACTCGGCATTTTATTTACCTTATGCACTGATATTCATAGAATCATGTAGAGAAATGTACAGGTCGAAAGGAATGTAATGGTACCTTTTTATTTTACAGGGTTCTAAAGTCAAAACCTTGAGATTAATAATGGCAGGAAAATCTTCGCTTTTTAAAGTAATTCTCCTTGGAGATGGTGGAGTTGGGAAGAGCTCTCTTATGAACAGATATGTGACCAATAAGTTTGATACCCAGCTCTTCCATACAATAGGTGTGGAATTTTTAAATAAAGATTTGGAGGTGGACGGACATTTTGTTACTATGCAGATTTGGGACACAGCCGGTCAAGAGCGATTCAGAAGCCTGAGGACGCCATTTTACAGAGGTTCTGACTGTTGCCTGCTCACTTTCAGTGTCGATGATTCCCAGAGCTTCCAGAACTTGAGTAACTGGAAGAAAGAGTTCATATATTACGCAGATGTGAAAGAGCCCGAAAGCTTTCCTTTCGTGATTTTAGGCAATAAGATCGACATAAGTGAACGTCAAGTATCTACAGAAGAAGCCCAAGCCTGGTGCAGGGACAACGGTGACTATCCTTACTTTGAAACAAGCGCAAAAGATGCCACAAATGTCGCAGCGGCCTTTGAGGAAGCGGTTCGAAGAGTGCTTGCTACTGAGGATAGGTCAGATCACCTGATCCAGACAGACACGGTCAGTCTGCACCGAAAGCCCAAGCCTAGCTCGTCTTGCTGTTGACCATTTAGAGAGGTTGCCTGTGTGATCTAACCAACTCACACACATACACAGAAAAACACAGGGTGGAGAAGAGAATTAGCATTTGCAGCAATGGATCATCTACTCATAAAATTAAACTAACCATATTGCTGTTTTGTTAGTGGGCGGGAGAAGGGACACATCCACTCATGGAAGAATCAATTTATTCAGTAGTGGCTCCGTACATTTATAAATTGTAATGGTTGTCTGTTAATGTTTAAATATGTACGTTACAGAGCTAATAAATGAGATGATCAGTACTTTAATTATAATTAAAACACTTGAATATTCTGGAAGTTACTGTTTGTTTTTTTCCTGGGAAAATGGAGAACTACTTTTTATATGTGTATATTTTTATGTAATTAGCATTCAGTTCCTGGGTGAGGGAAAGAAATTCCTGAAAGCAATAATGTTAAATAATAAAGATTAAAACCTAATGCATTTGCATTGTAGTTATTTGATTACTTCTTCATTCTCTTTAAAATTATTTAAGTGTTCACATTTCATTCTCCGTATCAGAATTGCTCTCACTAGTAATCATTCATGTGCTACATGTGGGGCCCCCCACCCCCAAAACAGAAGCCAACTTTATCACTCTTGGAGAAAATACAAAGGATTGTACTTCATGTGAGGATAAACGACATCTTTGTTAGGTCACATATGTAATGCCTTCCCTATCATTGAACACTGTTGAGTGATTTCTACTCAAGGAGATTTTGATAAAGCGATTTGTAGTCTTTCTGCGGGTAAAGTTCATATGCCCTGCATTTGTGCCTGTCCCATCCTGCAGAGGCAAACCAACCCGCTGAGGGTTGTCAGGACGTGCCGGTCAGGGTTAGCATGTCCTGCTCATGGGGAGTCACTGGAAAAGAATTGCAGTATCATTCAGTAAGCTAAGCTTTTGACAGTCTCATCTCCTAACAGAGCAATTTGGCTATATGCAAAACATTTGGACGTTTTGAATTATGGGGAAATTAAATCTCTTCATGTTCTTCGGTTAGAGGCAGTTGTTGTTTTTAGTATTTATAATCAATCCCCGCTCCCAAAACTGTAATCCTCCATCAAAAAAACTGAAATAGGAATCCATTAACAAATCGGTGTATATTATATATTCTTTCTTTTTTCTCTAGGGGATTTGCTTCCCGCCTTCCACCCCTGCAGTCTAAAGTGTCCCCATTGTTTTGTGACTTGCTGTTTCCTCTTAATATATGTGAACATACTTTATTACAGCATATCTACCTTATCAGCTTTACGGATGTTTACCAGTTTATTCAGTCTGTTTTCTAGTGACAGACATCCAGCAGCACTATCTGAAAGTACTAATTTCCCACACCTTATTCAACAGTGGGTATTAGGAGTAAATTTTTTTTTTAAGATTTTAAAAATTTATTTGACAGAGAGACAGAGGGAGCCTAAGCAGGGGGAGTGGGAGAGGGAGAAGCAGGCCTCCCACTGAGCAGGGAGCCTGATGTGGGACTGGATCCCAGGACCCTGGGATTATGACCTGAGCTGAAGGCAGATGTTTAATGACTGAGCCACCCAGGCGCCCCAGGAATACATTTTCTGTTCATTTTTTGAATAGATGAGTCATGTTAAGACTTAAGAGGGCACCTGGGTGGCTCAGTGGGTTAAGCCTCTGCCTTCACCTCAGGTCATGATCTCAGGGTCCTGGGATCGAACCCCACATCAGGCTCTCTGCTCGGCAGGGAGCCTGCTTCCCCCCTCTCTGCCTGCTTGTGATCTCTGTCAAATGAATAAAATCTTTAAAAAATATAAATAAATAAATAAAATCTTAAAAAAAAAAACCAACCAAAGACTTAAGAGACAGATATCTGTACCCTTGCCACCCAGTTCCTGTCCGTGGAGGTAGCATGTGTCTGTTTCTTGGGTATCAAGCTAGATATTTAGTACGTAAGGGAAGCATATTGTATTAGTTTGCTAGGGCTGCCATAACAAAATGCAGACTGGGTGGCTTAAACAGTGGGAATTTTTCTCACAGTTCTGGGGGCTGTATGTCCAAGATCAAGGTGTTGGTAGGTTTAGTTTGTCCTAAGGTCTCTCTCTCTGGCCTGCAGATGACGTTTACTCTGTGTGCAGCATGCCCCCCCACCCCCACCCATGCCACCATGTGTCTGTGTCCAAAATTCCTCCTCTCAAAAGGACACCAATCAGATTGGATTAGTGGGCTTGTTTTGACTTAATCACCTCTTTAGAGGCTCTGTCTCCAAATAGAGTCACATTCTGAGGGACTAGGGGCTGGGGCTATTAACATACGTATTTTGGGGGGACACAATTCAGCCCATATTATGTATGTGTGTGTGTGGGTATTTACATAATGTGTAGTTTTGATTCTTACATAGATTTAACTACTACTTTGGAGGTTTTTTAAAAATTTAGAAGCAGGGACACCTGGGTGGCTCAGTTCAGTGTCTGCCTTCGGCTCAGGTCATGATCCCGGGGTCCTGGGTTAGAGTCCCTCATCAGGCTCTCTGCCCAGCGGGAAGCCTGCTTCTCCCTCTCTGCCTGCTGTTACCCCTGCTTTGTGCTCTTTCTGACAAAATCTTAAAAAAAAACAAAAAACGTCCAAGTAGCTTTTTAGTAACTTTTTTTCCCAGCCAATATTCAAGAAGTTCTAGAGCTGGGAAGCAAGAAATGGCCAAGGGAACAGATCTTCCTGTGTGTAAAGACAGGCGGGCGAGCAAGGAGAGTAATGCAGTGGAACACCGAGACTCAGAGGGACCCAGTGAGCGGGGCTGGCTGACCGAGCACAGGACTGAAATGGGACCACGGAGGAGGAACAAAACTGCCAGGAGCTGCGGCCTTCAAAGAGACTACAACGAACTGAGGGGGAAAGCTCTTCAACAAGCCGGGAGAGGTAGCTGCAGATCTGACTCTTGTTTTTAGGAAGTGAGAAGTCTTTTAGGAACAAAAACGTCTTTTGATTGGCTGGTGTTACCTAAAGAAAGATGAGAAATACCGAGAAAACAGGAGCTGGGGAAGAAAGCAGTCAGCGCCGGAGGCTGCCGGGTTGGTGGAAGGAGCTGCAGAGCCCCCAGGAGGCCAGCGGGAGGACCGGTCCGCGTGCCCCCCAGTGTGGCGAGGGAAGGCCCCAGTGGTCCAGTGCCCGTGCTCATCACGCGGCGTCAGACCCGCTCTGTGACAGCGTGTGCTTCTGAGCTCTACTCCCGTGAAGCCTTCGAGACAGTTCAGTGCTACGGAAAAGGCGGACGACCGAACTTGGAGAACGGACAGTCGTACGTTTGCAGCCCGCGTGGCAAATAACAGCGCGCAGCGTGCAAGATGGAAAAGTACAGTCCCATCAGCGGGGGGATGGCTGTCACCTTGGGAAAATTCCCTAGTGGAAGTGAAAATGTCCTAGATGTCCCTTAAGAGAAAGCTTGAGTCTTACGTTTCTGTAGAAACGTGTGCAAGCTTTCCCTTGCGTATCATGACGCCGTGGACACCCGTGGCTTGGGGCCAGTGACATGGAAAAGTGGACCTGCGCACTGTCTGTGCGTTGGGCAAAGCCCCCACTGTGGCCTGGCAACCAGAAAGGGCTGACTGAGTGAAACGTGAAAGAGCACGGGGATAGTGCGGGCAGAGCAGAAATCCATCCCCCTCTACGTACGAGGGAAACGTGGGCACCGGTGAAGCACCTAGGAAAGGGAAGAGGACAGGATCAGAGCTGTGCGTCGTCTTTGGGTCCCTGTGGGTGTGTGAACATAGCCCTGACGTGGTGCTGACACACGTGTGCCAGCGGGCCTCATGCCCAGGGTGCTCATGATGTCATCCCGTCGCTCCTGTGTCCCTGAACCTGTGTGACGTCCCGTACGACCAGATCTAAGCTTTGCTGGCTTCTCCGCTTTCTTAAGTACCAGCCCCTGGTTCGTCCCCTCACGCCGTGCTGTGTGCCCAGGGCAGCTTACCCCGCACCGTCGCGGCCCATGTGCTCATCCAGTGCAGCTCACATCTGGCGTCCCATCCGCCCCCACACGTGGCAGTGGGCTGGCTTCACGCTCCTGCACACACACAGCTCGGTGCTGGACTGCAGTGACGTACTCACGCGGGGCCTGCGGTCCTTGTTCCCGCTTCCCTCACGAGCTCAGGGTTTGCAGGGTTTGCAGGGCGCCCGAACCCTCCTGCTGCTCTCCGCGCGGTCTGTTCACGGAGGGCAGGGCCGGCGGGATGCGGTAAGTACACACTGGGGTCTCTGCAGTGAGCACGGCTCAAACCACTCCTGGATTTCTAGCGGGGTATCTTCCCACTCCCAAAGCTCTGATACCTAGTTTGAGGGCATCTGAGTTCTAGAAAATGGGTTAAGGTAATAGCTTGTAGACTCTCACTAGGGGGAATAGGACTAAAACAGTCGTGGTAGCAGCATAAGCAACACTTTCAAAATTTGACCAAACTTCCATAATCTTGGACAAACATCTTTATTAAAGAAATCAAATAAATAGATAGGGTAAAAAATTATGGTAGCAACTTCACACAAGGGTATGAGACCAAACTTAGAACTACTTGCTCAAGTTACTCAGGATGGAAAAAAAGTAAGTGCTCACAATTAGCACACAAAATATCTGGTTATAACTTGTTTTTAAATGGACATTTACTAGTTTACAGTAAGATCCCACTGGTTACAGAGCACTCCCCACCCCCTTGGTGCATAGCCTAAAAAAGCTAAGAATGCAAATGTTAATGTAATATAAACTTTTTACTATTATTACAACTTTTTACTATTATAACTGTCAACAAGTTTGCTTACTTTAGTTTACTGTCGGAGGGAAAGACAATATAAGAACATAACCTGTCACTTTGGTCCCAGCCTCCCATTTTACAAACATGGATTCTTGATTTATAGCAGAATCTCTGACAGAGACAGGCCTGTGGTGTTTGGCACCGCAAAAGCTGCTTGCTTCGGCCTCTTGTGAAGTGCTATGTATACTGCCCGCGTGGTTTTATAACAGTATAGATGTATAGAAACCCATGCACACGCTGTCAGCTTCATTCCCTACGGCAGAAACTTTTAAATCTGTCTACCAAAATCTTGACAATGACATTTAGTTCTGAATTGTGACATCAAGATCAAGCTGTCTGAATGAGTAAAGTCAAAAGCTCATCTTTAAGTTTTAGAATAAAGATATTTTCAAGGTTATAAAGAGTTTATAAATAACACTGTTCACAAGCAAATATTGATAATCTGTTGATAATCGTTAAGAAACTGAATGTACTGTTTTGAAATAATACAAGGAATTTCATTAGGTTTAGATAAATTTAGACTACAAGTAAAACTTCCAGG